GGGCATTGATCTGTCCCCCCATGCCCCTTCCCTCCCCCCTCCCTTTCCACCACACAGACTTACCAACTGGAGGCAGTTGTATCAGAAATTGTATCGGTATCGGTTGATATGCCTCCTTAAATATCGGGTATTGGTATCCACCCCCAAAATCTATTAGGGCACCCCTAATGAGTTGCTACTATAGTAAATCAATGCATTGCCACTTCTTAACCTCCCAGCAGATACGAGTGTGCCTCTATGAGGTTGACAACAGCACTTCTGTATTAATGTGTCAGATGTGAATAAAGATAGATTTTACAAAGAGCTACTTTATAACACAAATACATTTCTGCTAGCATTTTAAAATTTCTGTAGCTTTGGGGTGCCTTTAAAAGGAGGCAAAAAGTTTATCAGGAGAGGTCACTATCCATTTGTACAGCCCCCCCAGATTCCAAAACTGATATAGGCCTCACTGTAGCAAGCCCTGCAAACACATATTAAGATAAAGTTTCCATCCCGAATAGATAACAACCTAATTTAGGACAAGAAGCGGCAAGTAAACTTAAAACAATTAGACTGAATTGAGGAGGAAGGACAGGTGTAGTGGTGATAAGAACAGGTGGTTACACAGAGCAGAGATGTACATAGTTAGATAAGAAAAAGGCTTTTGTTTTTTTTGTCAGAGCTGGGAAGAACCGATTAAATTAACATTAGGTGGATTTGTGTGTTCTATGTACTTTCATGGGGTTAACAGTGACAATATGACAGCCCTCTTAATAATAATAATAGTAATATTAATAATATCCAGTTCACATTACATTTTTTATTTAATACTTAGTTCAGCAGCATTTTTTTTTGCTTTTTAAAATAATGTCAAAAACAAATAGTTCCAAAAGTCAACAAGACGTAATGGCTGATTATAAAACCAGACAAATTAAAACAGAATTAAAGCTCAAACCTTTAAAGCTGTGGGGTGATTAATCATTGACACAATCTAGTGAGGGAAATAATTAATTTTTCATCTCTTTAAAATCTTCAAATTAGGACTGAATGGTTACTTAGTTTTAGCTAAGGCACAAGTGATAAATTTTAATCCAGCACAAGTTACTGGGTGTCAACACCCTAGTGAGAAAATAACATTCTACAGCAAGTATTCAGAGGCGATCCAGATGATCAACTGGCTGTTTCTGGTATTCCAGGAAACTAAGAATATTATTAGAAATTAGGGTGCAAAACCAAAACTGAGACATTGATTTCTCTCTCTTTTTTTCAGTTATTGCTAAGTCCCAGTGATGCATCTCCCCCCTAGTATTACAGTGTCTTCTACTTTTATCAGTATCCTAGTCCAGGTTTACATCTCAACACAATTAATCAGCCTCCCCACTTTTTCTCATGCATTCCTGTTTTACATACAGTCCCTCAACAAAATGCTCTATATCTTAGCTCACTGCCCTGAGCTCCTAACTAATCTAATCTGTCTTACAAAGTTCAGAGAGTAACCTAATGGAAGAGGGAGAAACAGTAAATGAAATTAAATTAGAGCCATTGGCATAGGGTCCCATGCTCTTTACTCTGTCAGTTCTAAAGAAATAGCCAAGCTTA